ACGCCTCCGTTTGAAGAGGGAGGCTGCCCACCGTGGCTCTTCCGCGATTTAGATGCAGCCCACCGACTCTGCTCCCCCACCACGGCGGGCTCCAGTCTGAGGTGAGTCAGCTAAATAAACGTTTTAACATCTTCTAAAGACAATTCCCTACCTAAATGCAAAGTCTGAGAGACGTGGTTCACTTCCTTTAGCTAGTCAGTCGGCAATTCTGCTACAGTGTCTCTAACTAACGCTGCACTAGTTGACAGACATCATTACAGCGTGAAATCCAGCTTGTGACCCGGTGTTCTGTAAGGAATTCTGTTCAGGAGGTCGCATTTCAGCCTCTCCACATCATGTGTGACTGACTTTTACGTTATAACAACGATCACACACTAGGAATGTTATAAAGCGCCTATATAGGAGATTCTTTTGTATATTATCTGACTTTATAAACTCCCAACAACAATGTGCTTCTATTTTTTTTTTCAGGCTAAATCTACCCAAGACACTGGCTGTCAGACTGATTTAGCTGCATGAATGTACTTTTCCAGGCTGATGTGAAACCTTCCCTGTAGCAAAGGTGAATTATTTTTAATAATCTTCTATGTAAACATTTTATTATCACCTAGTTTTAATTTGTTTTACAGATTATTGTTACACGGGATTTTATGCTCTTTTAAACATTTATAAATGTGCTGCTTCTTTGTTTTTGTACATAGCCATCCAGAATGGAGTTCACAACCGCAGTGTGTCTGGTGACCCACAGGGACCATGATGAAAATTCATCTTCCAGAAGGTCCCAGAGCGTCCAGACCCCCTGAAAAGACCAAGATGTGAGGTGTCTGCTGTTGATTCCAGCTTCCACCTCAGTGACAGTGCAAGCTCAGTGAACTGTTCAAGGTTAAAAAAAAATTTAAAAATTTCAGAATTTTTAAGATATTAACAATTAAATAAGTATGTGATTACATCATGACGGAGGCTACTGATTCTGGCCCTGTGACACTTGGTGGTGACGTGTGAGCTGATTCTCCTGGAAAATAACTTTTACATTAAATATTTTGTTTTTGCTATCAAAAGTAAATTAACTAATAACCTGCATTATTGCAAGACACTCAGCAAAATATGGACTCTACACCATGAGGCATGCACACATTAATATTCTATAAGAGCACATAAGGTGAGCAACACCACATATTGTACACTGTCCTGAATTTGTTTTCTTTCTGCATCTCATTAGCCTGGCTGATCACCTGATAACCCCTATCATCTGGTTATGACAGCATGAGGATGTCCTCACACACCTGTAACCTATCAGCTCATCCTGCTGAATAGAGAGAGAAGAGACAACACCACATCTCCTGTTCCTGGAAAGCCTTCAGCCATCCTTCGATGACTGAGAACCTCCATCAGCTCTGTCTCCTGTCTGCCTACAATTATTATAATAAATATTGTGTTTGACAAGTTTTTTGTGCTGCCAAATATCTCATTTAGATTCGTTTTGATATTTTAATGGATATTTATAAATTACATTGAATATCACATTTTTGTTGCATGTTTAACTAGCTCTATTGTGATGAATTAAACTAGCACCTCACTGTTAAAAGCTCGTTCTAATTTCAAGCATGTTTAAGTATTTATGGACATGAACAAAAACAGGAAATATATAAATTGAGATTTATTTAATTAATATAACAAATAAGGGGGAAAGAGTCATTGAAAGGCACGTTCTTCTGAAAGTTCCTGATCCTGACGACACCAGCAGAGGAGACCAGCTGCAGACACCAGAGGACCTAGAACCAAGAGAGCAGCTGTTATCAGTAAATAAATAAAGAAATCAGGGCAGTTTTAGTGGGCTGAACACATTACAGAATAATTTTCTCATGGGGTATTTTCATAACTTTATATGCAGCAGACTGTAACTTGAGCCCAGAGCTACCGGAGAGCTGCTATCCAGCATGTTTCAGTGGATTTTCCTGCTTTAACAGGTTAGATTAGCTGTTAAGCAGCTCAGCTATTTGTTGCTGATTAAAACCAGGTGTGCTGAAGCAGATAAACCTCTAAAACATGCTGAATACTAGCTTTTTAGGGCCGTGGAGACAAACCCTGCAGCTAATCCAATGCTATGGCTAACGGCTACTTACCTTTCAGAGGTGATTCTGTTGGGTCGGTTCTGGGAGTTTCAGGCAACTCACAAGCTCAAAACAATAAGACTCAGGTCCGCTTGTCTCCTCCAAATAGACTTGGTCCCTTTCTTCTCGAGTGTCTGTGTAAGGAGGGGGAGAAACGTCCTCCACTTCTAATAACTGCTCAGAGTGAAGGGAGCTAGCTTCGTCTAGTTAGCCATCGTCTTCGTCACTGCCGCGGCTCCGCCCTCTCGGTCCTCCAGGCAACGCCTACTAATGTTGCATTTTTTAAAATTGATACGTGGGTGGAGAAGGACTCCGAGGCTCAATTGACCCGCTCTTTAAAGTTGCGCACATTTTTCCACTAAATTTTTTTTCATAAATCCCAAAGTTTGCGTGGAAAGTTGCTTACGCAGTTTTCTGACCCCGTTTTGTGTGTAAGCTTGATAAATGAGGCCCCTGGCCTCTGCAGCTTTGCACACAGTTTCCGTTTCAAGGACTCTCTTAAAGCTTCCCTCTTATCTCAGACTGCTGTGCTTCTCAGAACAAGGGATGAACTTTCATGATTAAATCATATAATGAAATGAACAATATGGTTAAATGAAATGTTTTGATTAATCTGTGCGTAGATTAATAAGTGTGGCAAGGTGGAGAAACGAGGGCCCGGGCGGGATTTAATCCCCAGACTACCGGGTGAGAGTCATACGCTCTAACCAGTCAGCCAAAGGGACATCCCCTTGGCCAAGTAGCCAGGGCGCATGATCTATCGGGACATTGTGACAGAACGCTCACACTGTCACATAAGGATTAAATAAAATATATGACCTATATAATCAGCGTACGTGACTGGACAAGCACACACTCACCATATCCCCATGATGCAAGTTAAAGTTAACGTCATAGCACATAGATATTTTCTGATCCACAAATCAGAGCTCCTGTATCTGGAAAGGTGTGGTTCTGAGGTTTGTTTGTTAATACCTCTTAACATGGCACGTCCTGGTTGGCCATGAAATCATAATATGGGAATATTAAAACAGAATCACTTGCTGAGTGATTCAGTTACTTTGAGCAGAGCTCCGGACCGGCCAGCCGGGGCAAAACTCTTTGAATCGTCAAAGTTTTCGACAAGCCAAAAGATGCCTGCAGCGACACAGAAACGTGCTCCTTCTGTTCTAGACGCCAACTAGTTCCAACCTGTTGTGCTTGGTGACATCTCTGGACTGGAGTAGTTGGTGCTGCGGTTAATTTACTGAACCTCAGTGCCCAGAGGTCACCTGACCTTCCTGACCTCCGGATCCGCGAAGAGGGTCTCCAAAAAGGGTGAGGCAGACACAGCATGACTGCGTCTGATGTGGTTTTGACAAGAAACAAATTTGTTAGCTTATAGCAGACCAACTTCACTCCCACGCAGAACTCAGTTTCATCAGATACGAGAGATCTGATAACATCACACATCATCACACCTCACAATCCATCCGCTTAGATTCATCCATCGCATGAAGTTTTTTCCTAGTTGTCGTGTTTTTAATTTGTTTAGAAAATGAATTTCTTACTTTTTATAAACTTGACTCTGTCTGAATTAATACGAAGTGTGTTATGATCACTGAAAAAGCAAAGAATCCTAATTCTTCCGATTAAACATTCAAAGACCAATCAGGTTGATACCCTATATCTATATAGAATATCACATCTTATTGATCATAAGGTAATATCGTTTAAGCTTAAAAGCAACGATATAATACCCTCATTACAGTAGACACCATCCGATGTAACAATTTGTCCTCTCAAAGTAGTACGAATTTTGATAAATCTGAGAATGTGCGTCTACCTGAGGAAACGCTGGACAGTTTTCTCCTCAGTGAGGCCCACCACGTGTCTTGGACCCTATCCCCACAAGGTTTTTTAAAACAATTTTATGAGTCTTTTAGGAAATAACTTTTAGTTATGATGAACTGCTCGCTTCAGACAGCAGTCTTTCCTGCTGCCTTTAAAGGGGCGGTGGTGAGGCCCCTGCTGAAGAAGTGCTATTTAGATTTTAATGATTTAAACAACTTCCGACCAGCTCACCACCAGGTGATCAGTTGACAGCTCCGCTCCTCTTTACGTGTCCAAAACGTATGGTCTCAGGTCAGATGATACAACTATAGAAGTCAATCTTTGGTATGTTCTTACTATTTTCTAAATCCATATTTGGTTATTTTTTAAAAACACAGGAAAAGTTTCTTTACCTTGCTGACAGTGTCGTTTGCCAAATGCAAAACATCCTCAGAGCTGACGCTTATGGTGGCGCCACTTCCTACTCCGTTTATCCGCGGGCAGCGGAGGATGTTGTCGCCCTCCGCTGCCCGCTCTCCCCTCTCCGATGATGCAGTCCCATGCACGATGTAATGTGTAGACCCCATCGTCTCTGTTCATAGTCCCGCAGCCACGTCTCCTTATCTCTATAGCTTCTTTTATCCATTTTTTGTATACCAAAGATGTTTAAAGAAAAATACGCACAAGGAACAAAGGACATCCGCCGTTTGGAACGTTTACATCAAAAACGTGCACGTGTAATGAACCACTTTCTCACCAATTTAAGATGCCGGGATGAAAACATCACGCCAATAGAGCGCAAAAACATCCTCTGCTGCCCGCGGATAAACAGAGTAGGAAGTGATGCCACCATCAGCGTCAGCTCTGAGGATGTTTTGCAGTTTGCAAACGAAACTGTCAGCAAGGTAAAGAGAAACCTTTCCTGTGTTTTAAAAAATAACCAAAAATGTAATTACAAAGTCAATCATTGACAAAGATTTCCCTCTTTTCTATTCATTTTCTCTCTTTTACGCGTTGTCGTTTTCAATAAGGAAAAAATTCACACACTTCTATCTGCAAAAAATGCTTATTTAATGATCAAGCTTTTGGTCAGAGAATTTTATTAGGAGTGATTCAAGTTCATACAAACAATGCTTGGTTCATAAGACTTAGGCCCTGTCCACACGTAGCCGGGTATCTGCCAAAACGTAGATATTTTTCTACGTTTTGGCCTGTCATCCACACGAAAACTGAGTTTTTTCACACGAAAACGGATCTTTTTAAAAACTCCGGCCAAAGTGAAGATCTGCGTTTTCTCCGTTTTGGGTGTCTGCGTGTGGACAGACAAAACCGGTGTTTTAAGGTCCGCAACGTCACTTTCCGCGACAAAAAAATGCTGACATCACGTGTGCAACCTGTGTTTACACTACAGCTGTGCTCTGTCACTACCCGATCCATCAATTGTCCAAGCGCTTTTTGCTTGTTTGTTTTTGCAAGCGGAATTACTGCTCCTTGCGTAAGACCACAGACAAAGGACGAGGTTAAGAACGGGGGACGTACTGCCGCCTACAGGTCTGGCATGTCCTTAACAATGTATTTATCCGGGTACGTGTGGACAGAGTTTTTTTTTAAACGAGGTGGTGTGGATGCAAGTTTTTGGAGGGGCGGATATTCGTTTTAAAAAAAAAACGGCTATGTGTGGACTAGGCCTTAGTTGATTTCAAACACCTGAGATGGTAACACAGGGCATCATAGGAAATGAAGTCCCAGAATCATTGAACACGTAATAATATTAAAAGGCAGTCCATTTCATAGTAACCACATAGAAATTTCTTATACAAACATTGCAGACACCAGGCTGCAGAGCCAACAAGGTAGAAATACATCATAGAACAAATAATACATATTTCATTAAAAATGCAGACATCTCAAATGAATTTAGTCCTAATGATTGGATTGGAATTTGGGTGTAGATCCAAAAAAGTTCCCATTGGCAAAGTATTTTGTCTACGTCACCTTCTGTATGTAGTGTGATCTGTTCAATCCCCTAAAATCTCAGTGAAGAGCCAGTACATGTGGTCATTGAAATGACATGCTACAGGGTGAATAGGATATTTTTGTCTAATTGAACTCTTATGTTCATTGATTGTTTTACCGGCCGTGTTGATTAACCAACATAGAATTTGTCACAAAGGCATTTTAACAGATATGAAACGTTTTGAGTTGCAAGTATTTATACCTTTTATAGAAAAGTATACAACTCAAAAATGTTTTATATAGTGAGGGACACAGACATACTATATAAACTATATAAAAGATTGTTTGCTTTCTATATTACTGTCACACAAAACCCAAAATAACTTTTGCCACAGTTAAAAAAAAGCAGCTCTTTCTTTGCATCAGGTGACTTTTCAAGTGTGACATAATTTGTGAAATCTACAGTAGGGCAAAAAAGTACTTAGTCAGCCACCGATTATGCAAGTTCTCCCACTTAAAATGATGACAGAGGTCAGTAATTTACATCATAGGTAGACTTCAACTGTGAGAGACAGAATGTGAAAAAAAATCCATGAATTCACATGGCAGGATTTTTAAATAATTTATTTGTAAATCAGGGTGGAAAATAAGTATTTGGTCAATAACAAAAATTCAACTCAATACTTTGTAACATAACCTTTGTTGGCAATAACAGAGGTCAAACGATTACTATAGGTCTTTACCAGGTTTGTACACACAGTAGCTGGTATTTTGGCCCATTCCTCCATGCAGATCTTCTCGAGAGCAGTGATGTTTTGGGGCTGTCGCCGAGCAACATGGACTTTCAACTCCCTCCACAGATTTTCTATGGGGTTGAGGTCTGGAGACTGGCTAGGCCACTCCAGGACTTTCAAATGCTTCTTACGGAGCCACTCCTTTGTTGCCCGGGCGGTGTGTTTGGGATCATTGTCGTGTTGGAAGACCCAGCCACGTTTCATCTTCAAAGCTCTCACTGATGGAAGGTGGTTTTGGCTCAGAATCTCACGATACATGGCCCCATTCATTCTGTCCTTAACACGGATCAGTCGTCCTGTCCCCTTAGCAGAAAAACAGCCCCAAAGCATGATGTTCCCACCCCCATGCTTCACAGTAGGTATGGTGTTCTTGGGATGCAACTCAGTATTCTTCTTCCTCCAAACACGACGAGTTGAGCTTATACCAAAAAGTTCTACTTTGGTTTCATCTGACCACATGACATTCTCCCAATCCTCTGCGTTATCATCCATGTGCTCTCTGGCAAACTTCAGTTGGGCCTGGACATGCACTGGCTTCAGCAGCGGAACACGTCTGGCACTGCAGGATTTGATTCCCTGCCGTTGTAGTGTTACGGATGGTGACCTTTGTTACTATGGTCCCAGCTCTCTGCAGGTCATTCACCAGGTCCCCCCGTGTGGTTCTGGGATTCTTGCTCACAGTTCTCATGATCATTTTGACCGCACGGGATGAGCTCTTGCGTTGAGCCCCAGATCGAGGGAGATTATCAGTGGTCTTGTATGTCTTCCATTTTCTGATAATTGCTCCCACAGTTGATTTTTTCACACCAAGCTGCTTGCCTATTGTATTCACTCTTCCCAGCCTGATGCAGGTCTACAATTCTTTTCCTGGTGTCCTTCGAAAGCTTTTTGGTCTTGGCCATAGTGGAGTTTGGAGTCTGACTGTTTGAGGCTGTGGACAGGTGTCTTTTATACAGATAATGAGTTCAAACAGGTGCCATTAATACAGGTAACGAGTGGAGGACAGAAAAGCTTCTTAAAGAAGACGTTACAGGTCTGTGGGAGCCATAGATTTTCCTTGTTTGAAGTGACCAAATACTTATTTCCACCCTGATTTACAAATAAATAAAATCCTGCCATGTGAATTCATGTTTTTTTTTCACATTCTGTCTCTCACAGTTGAAGTGTACCTATGATGTAAATTACTGACCTCTGTCATCATTTTAAGTGGGAGAACTTGCACAATCGGTGGCTGACTAAATACTTTTTTGCCCCACTGTAAGTTGCTTCACACACTTGATTAGAAAATTGCTTTTATAGCCTCATGAACTTGCAATTAGTTTTTTGTTCTTCCTGGGACTTCCGGTCTGCAAGTAGATGGGCATGACTTACCCCTGCTTTCCACAGGAGCCATCAGCAGCACGTTACTGCAGCAGCACGTCTTGCTTGCGTAAACTGCTGATTGGCCCTTCCCACGAGACGCGAAGCAGCAGGGGAGCAGCTGTCACAACAACAAGCAGGAGAAAACTACAACATGGCTCCAAAAGGTTTGTGTTTCATGTTCTGTCTGTTTTATAATCGCCAATACGGACCTGAAAAACAAAGGAGACCGCTAGCTAGGTGATAACTTCTCATGGGGCCGCACATTTAGTAACTTTTTAAAAAAAGTAAAGCAACCGGAAGGCAGTACGTTTCTTTATTCTGAAAATCTCGAGAGCTTCTCTCCAATTCCGCGTCCAATTTCCTGTCTTTCGTTCCCCAAAAATGTCGAACTTGACCAGTTTCAGAGGCGACTCGCGTAGAAAATAAAACTGGTGCGTAAAGGCCGCGACATGCTGCTCCTGAGACGCGGCCGACTCGCGCTGCTGACGGCTCCAGTGGAAAAGGTTCTGTTGACCACAGCGGTTCCTATCAACAGCTATGACGTGCTGCTGCAGTAACGTGCTGCTGACGGCTCCTGTGGAAAGCAGGGGTGAGGCTCCTTATTGTAAATGCAAAGGCCTTCTCACCTGTGTTGAGTTTTAATGTGAGCAGTCACACCATTCTTTCTAAAGAAACATTTGCCACAGACTCCACATGAATAGGGTTTTTCACCTGTGTGAGTACTCATGTGGTAAGTTAAATCATCACTTCTAGAGTAACATTTACTACAAATTTTACATGTATATGGTTTCTCACCTGTGTGTAGTCTCACGTGAGTTCTCCAGGAACTTTTAAAAGTGAAACATCTACCACAAGTGTTGCATGTAAATGGTTTCTCACCTGTGTGAGTTCTCATGTGTGTAGTCCGAGAATAACTCTTAGAGAAACATTTACCACAAATTTCACATGCAAATGGTTTCTCGCCTGTGTGAACTCTAATGTGAGTGTTCAAGGCACCTTTCTCAGAGAAACATTTCCCACACGTTTCGCATGTAAATGGTCTCTCACCAGTGTGCGTTCTCATGTGTGTAGTCAAGTGTTTCTTGTTAGAGCAACACTTGCCACAAGTCCCACATGTTAATGTGTGTGGTTTTTCACCTGTATGAATTCTCATGTGAGAAATCACGTAACATCTCTGAGAGAAACATTTACCACAAGTTTCACATTTAAATGGCTTCTCACCTGTGTGAGTTCTCATGTGGTAAGTCAATTTACTTCTAACAGGGAAACCTTTACCACAAATTTTACATGTAAATGGTTTTTCACCTGTGTGAGTTCTCATGTGTGAAGTCAAAATATATCGTATACGAAAAGATTTACCACAAAACCTACATTTGTGTGGTTTCTCACCTGTGTGAATTGTCTTGTGTTTAATCAAGCCACCTCTAAAAGAGAAACATTTACCACAAGTTTCACATGTAAACGGTTTCTCACTTGTGTGAACAATCATGTGGGAAATTAAGGTACATTTCTTGGCGAAACGTTTACCGCAAGTTTCACACGTAAATGGTTTCTCACCTGTGTGACTTCTCATGTGAGTGGTCAAACAATATTTCGTGTAGAAACTTTTACCGCAAAATTCACATGTAAATGGTTTCTCATTTGAGTGAGTTCTCATGTGTACAGTCAAGTGACTACTCATTAAGAAACACTTACCACAAGTTCCACATTTAAATGGTTTTTCACCTGTGTGACTTCTCTTGTGTTTAGTCAAGTCGACATTCCTGTAGAAGCATTTACCACATATTTTACACTGAAATGGTTTCTCACCTGTGTGAGTTTTCATGTGTGTGGACAAGTGGTTTTTAATATTGTAACATTTACCACAAATCCTACATGAAAATGGTTTCTCACCTGTGTGAGATCTCATGTGTGAAGTCAAACCACAACTCCTAGCGAAACATTTACCACAAACTCTACACGTAAATGGTTTCTCACCTGTGTGAATTCTCATGTGAACAGTCAAGGTACCCCTCAAAGAGAAACATTTATCACAAATTTTACATTTAAATGGTTTTTCACCTGTGTGACTTCTTATGTGATTGGTCAAGATATAATTCGTGTAGAAACATTTTCCGCAAATTTCACATGTAAATGGTTTCTCACCTGTGTGACATCGCATGTGAAGAGTTAAAAGACCATTGTGACTGAAAGATTTTTCACAGACTTTACATGAAAATGGGCTCTTTCCTCTGTAAGCACCGTTTTGTTGTTTTGGTTGATGACTTTTGTTTTTTGTCAAATCTTCATTGCCGTTTTCATTTTTGCATCCATCCTGATCTTGGTTCTCAGCTCCAGTAGAATACTGACATGTAGGTTGGTTCCCATATGGTTCTGGTTCAATGCAATCCGTTTCTTCAGATGGAGAAGTCAACATGAAAGTTACATTTTCCCGTCTCAGAAGAAACTGCCCTTCATGCTGACTGACACAGTGTTCCTGTTTATTTTCGATCAATGGAGGTTCAGGTTCCTTCTGGTCTGTACTGGAGATCCTCTCCTGGTTAGAGAGCTTCTGGTCAATCAGAACCTTCTCCTTTCCACAGACATGATGCTGTGAAGGTTCTGCACAGGCTAAAAGATTAAAGAAAATGTTGATTATTGCAACAATAAAAAGTGCACAATTTATTTTTATCATCCGATTTATCTAAATAAGTAGGAACCCTCAGATTAGTTTTTAGTTGCAGAAGAGAACCCGAGACAGAGGAATAAGTCTACAAAGAGCGTAACATGAATTATGAAAGCCTCAATCAAGATTTTTAGGGTTCCAATCTGACAGACAGGGAACCCTGTTTTTTTGTACAAAATTTTCATTATTAGTGTTGCAAGCCAGAAGAGCAGGGAACCTTACTGTTTTTGCATGGATCTTTCATTATTAGGATTCCAAATAGACAGGTAGGGAACCTTATTTTTGCATGAATTTATTATTATTGTTATTTATTAGGGTTTCAAGACTGAAGTGCGGGGAACCCTATTGTTTTTGTACAGATTTATTATTATTATTCTCCTGCTATTTCTAGTTGGGTGCAAGAACCAGGGAATGCCAGGAAAAATTTAACTGGGCAATCTGAAAGAAAATACTGACCGCTACTCCATACTCCATACTCCATAATACTAGAGGTGTGAATCTTCACTTGTCTCCCGATTCGATTCGATTACGATTATTGGGTCAATGATTCAAGTCGATTCGATATCCCGATGCATCACGATTATTTCATATTGATTTGTTTTCATCGATAAATAGAAGATGTCAGATAACTGCTTTTTATTTTTTTTATATCTAAAACGTAATTGACACAACCTGCCATCCCTCAAAAGCTCTCCATTCACAACAGGTTAGGACAAAACATTTTAAACATTTAAGAAGATTTAACAAAGTAAAACATCTGTTTCCTGGTTCAACACCACGCCTCAGGCTGAGAAAAACACGCTTTGCAAAAACTCACAAAATCTAAAAAGTACTGAAAACCTACAGGACACATAATGTAATAATAAAATCCATAATGTGTTCATATATGAGTGTTTAATGTCTCTGAGCAGCTCTAGAGTCAAATATTTATGCCACAGTTCAAGGATGTCAGAAATAACACCAAATGAAATGTTTGACTTAGTTTATTTTATTTGAACCCAGTGGTTCGTTTCTGAAATGTTGGAGAATGAATCAAGTTCTGTTTGATGCAGAAAATAATAAAACATAAAACAAATTCTACACTTCCAATAATATTTAAGATGTGTGTTTTATTCTTTCTGATAATAACACCAGCAGAAGGCTGTGGGCTGGATTAGGATTAAATTACCCAGCTGATGGATCTCCTTCACTAACCAGCTAACTACAAACCTTTCGACTAACCTGTCCTGTGTGACCCTCACCCTCATGTCCATGCTCTCTGGAGGAGCAGATAGGAGACAGACCTCCTGTAACTTAAAATGGACCAAAGCTTCCTCCCAGTTTCTCTTTAAGCTGAATTTAACATCAGTTTATCTTCATGACACAAAATAATAAAGTGGAACAAGAACTTCTATTTCTCTCTCCTTTTAACTTCTCCGTGTCCCTAAATAAAAGAGACAGACGATCACGCTGCAGCCGCCGTCACTGACCCCGCCCCCTCCCCAAGACCGGCTCTCCCTACATTACAACAAGCAGTCTGACTGAGCGCTTCCAGGAGAAATAATAATTAAATTATGAAAATAATAACGCGTGTTTGGAGGAGCGTCCTCCGATCGTCTCTCTGAGCAGACAGTGTCTCTCTCTCTCTCTCTGTCGCTGATCGAGCGAGCGGAGCGCGCCGCACGACAACCGCTCAATTAACATAATTCACGGCCCAAATCCAACAGAACCGGTCGGGCTGATTCGGTTCCGGTTTGGTCTCGGGTGACAACTCTAGCGCTCAGCCCTGCAGTACCACATTAAGGCGGAGGTAAATGTGGAGGACGCTCACTCTGACAGATTTGGATCTGCGCTGGTGCCGCCATTAAAAAAACAAAACTACATTCCACTATAATCGATTATGGCGTCCTCTTCTACGATGCAGAATCGTTTATGTCCGCATCCCGATGCATCGATTATTTGATTATTTTCCTCAGCTCTACATAATACCTAGGTGGCACTGCTGCAAAGGTTAACGTGTTTTTGCTTATAACTTCCAAACCCTATGCCTGACATACAAAACCTTCTGTTTCCCTTGACCATTGGCTGATTTAACAGCGTTTTAAGATTAACCACACCAAGTTTCACCTGACAATATTTTTCCCTATGTTGCAAATGTAGTGTACCAAAAGGACAAGTATTTCATCAAAAGTGACCAGAACTTACAGGTCAATTTGACACTGCAGGACAAAAATGACTTCAAAAGTCCATATGATCATATTTTGTTGAATGAACAATATGTTTAAACCCATAGTGTTTGATAAATGTGTCCTATACTTGACAATGTGGTTTAAAATGTATATTTTTCCTGTAAACATTATTTCAGAGCTTAAATTACACCAGCTAAGTATTAGTTTATTTCATGTTAAATCTATCCATATTTTCACACTAGGGATGCAACAACAATGTTGGCTAAGCTTGTCG